TATAGTGTGTGTGTGTGTGTGTGTGTGTGTGTGTGTGTGTGTGTGTGTGTGTGTGTGTGTGTGTGTGTGTGTGTGTGTGTGTGTAGGCATTCTTTGCAATTACTATATGCAAATTATTTATTTAATAATTGACTTAAAAATATATTTCTTACATCAATAACAAAAATATTCAATTATTAGTGTTTCGAAAATAATATATTTTATTTAAACCAGCAAGCAACATAAATAGTTAAGAAACATTTTTTAGTTAATTTTATAAATATATTTTTTGTGAATTATTCATTAGCATATATATTAAATTTAATCTATCTAAAATCTAATCTAATCTGTCTAATATTTGAAAATAGATAGTTATAAAATATATATTATAATATTTAGAAATTTTAAATATATTATTTTATATTATCTCTGAACGCATATGTTAATGATAAAATGCCTTGCAGTTCAAATTAATAACTATACAAAAATAATAATAACTGAAAATCATCATATTGTAAAAGTTTTTTTTTGTAGAAGATAAAAAGTGATCATACGTAGAACCTATGGCTATTTTTCAATATTACACAAACAATTCAGTTGATCATGTTGTCATTGTGAAAAATGTGTTACTTGCTTTATCATTTCATCAAGTTTCGCTGATTTATTTATCATTGAAAATAAACTTACATTGACAAGATTAACAAAAAAATTTTTAGATTTTTTAGATTTTATGTGTATTACATTATTTTTAGGCAGATTCAATTTTTTAATAACGAGAATTGATATGTCGTAATCATGTTTACAAATACAAATAATATATGTAAGGTATATCTAAAAGAAAGAAATATATTAAACAATTTGAACTCTATTGCAAGTTAATAAAAATTTAGTAAAATGTTGTAAACAGTTCTTTTATCATAATTTTGTAATATATAATAAATATATAAATTTTCTCCAATAAATAATAATGTATTATATATAGTTAAATCTACATATTTTTGATACAATATAATTTTTATTGTACCGCGTACCACAATAATAAAAGTTTTTATAAATATTAAAAAAAGTATAACACCATAATCGTTATGATATAAGCGAGCATATGCAGTGACACTTGTATTATCGCTGTTTTTGAGATTCTGTTACATTCCATCTCCAAATGTTTAATTCCAAGTCATGAAACAAGCAAATGATAAAAGCAAGATAACACTTGCGACAACATTTCAATAATATACCCAAAATCATTAACATCATTAACATAAACGTAGCAACGAGACATTTTCTAACTTTTTTTATATAATTTATAAGTATTAAATCTTTTTTTATATAAAATATTTATAATAGATGAACGCTTTATGTTTATCATCTTCCTTCTTTCAAAAAATTGTGTACTTACTTTTAATTTTAATTTTATAAATTTTAATAAATTCCAATTATAAAAGAATTTCTCAAAAGAATTATAAATAAAAACAATTTAAAAATTCAATTTTAATAGAATTTATTATCGTATAAAAATTAAATTGATCACCGACGTACATGTGCACCAGTCCCGAACAAAACTGATATCACATGAGAACGAAATTAGATTTCAGGCTGATGCAGTTTCGGTTCCAAGACACATTCCTTCACTATTTTCATACTGAGACACGTTCTGGCTGGACACAAATATTCTCGCGAAATCGAATCTGTACCACTACTATAATAACAATTGGAGCGTTCTCCAACGCAATACTCGGTAGAGTCAGCCGAACGGGAAAAACAACACGCAGTGTAACTCCACCAACGTCGCGGTGACAACTGAAGGCCCACGTATATAATGCACCGAAGCGAGGTTGAAGAGGCCCCACCAAAGTATGTCCGAAGTCGAAGTCGAGAAGACCAGGTGTCAGAGCGCCTCAAACTGGGGGAATCCTACCGGCAGGTGAGAAACGACCATCTGATCTCTAGTCAAGGATGATCATTCGACCGGCAAGGGTAGCCGGCATTGCGAATCCGTTTGCATTTCTCGAATAAATATAATTAATATTATAAAAACGAGAAGACAAACGGAAAACCTGCATACTTTTGTTCAAATATTTTTATATATGCAAGAAGATGCCCTGCTCTTAGGGAACAAGACTTAAAGAAGTTATTTTTCTAAAGAATGTTTGATTATTTTATATACAAATATATAAATAGTATTTTTTATATATGGATATCACCAGTTCTCTCTAAATTAAATGTAATACAACTCTTTCAATGCGTAAAAATTTTTAAATAAAATTTTGTTTTTAAACATTTATAATTTTTAAACGTCCAAAACATAAGCTAATAAGTAAAATTAAATAATTTAGAATTAATTTAATTTAGCTTACATAAATTAAAAATTTTTAACAATTTAAGTGTATTCTAAAAATCTAGATTTTTAATTCCTGTATAAGAACAATATAAATTTAAATATGTTTAGCAAATAATTTATTATTAATTTAATAGAATTTCAATAAAAATTCTTGTTTTTATATATATAGAGCTGAGCACCACTGTTGTTACTTTCACGTCGCCGGACGATTCAGGTCTGATGAAAGAACTTATGGAAAGTAATAAAAGGGATAAGAAGAAGGGGATCTACCCACTGGTTCCTGTCTACCTTGAGCGGTACTCCATCATTCTACCTTGTCTCTTTCCAAATATCTTTTTACTCTGTTATTGTATAATCTCTCACTTG